TTTATCCATTCCTCCCACTCCTCCACACATTCCATCAATATTATCTTCTGTAAGGCCCATATTCTCTAAATGTTTTAACATTTCTTCCATAAGTATATCTGTTGATTCTTCTGTAATGCTGGCCTATATAAATTGACAATGAAAGGTAAGTAAAATGAATATGTAAACAGACAAACAGGCAGACAGATAGATAGACAGACAAACGTTTACATCAACTTGTTCAGAACTATTTTGTAATTTGTTCATAGTTTGATTAATTTTATCTTGAAATGAATCACCTTTGGATTCATTTGGTGACTTTCGTATTTTGTTACCACTAACATCACCAATAATACTATTTTTACCATCAAAATCTACTATATCATTTAAGTTGTTAATTCCACCAACAGATTTCATAAAACCTTGTAATGTGCTTTTGAGTTCTTCATTTAATTCTTTATTTGTCACCTCATCTACCAATTTTTCCATTTCTGCTGCTAAAATTTTTGCATATTCTTCATCCATGTCTGAAGTAAGTTCTGCTAAATTGATATCATCATCATCATCATTACTTAGTTTTGGCAATAAATTGCTTGGAATACTATTATTTATTGTGGAAAAGGTAGGCGATGAAGATTTTGTGGGAGGTTGTGAGGAAAAATCATCAAGAACCTCTATTTATTAATTAAAAATACATTATGTTTAAAATTTTTATTTTGAAAAAAAAAAAGATACTACATAACTAACCGTCAAGCAGATCATCATCTAAAACGTCTAATTCATCAGCAACTGTAACTTTTTTATTTTCAAAAGCCATATCAAAAAATTAAATTTAATATTTATAAAAAGAAGAGATATAGCGTGTAACAATCGTTTGATTAGAATTATGTAATAATTTTTAAGTGTAACTACAATCGGACTTCAGGAATTAAACAGGACTCCGGAAACTTCCCAATGATTAAAAAAACATTATATATTAGAATTAGTATTATTATTAGTAATTAGTAGTAGAATTTGAGGCTTAATAGTGGTACACACTTTTTCTTGGAACTAAACTTTTACGTTTAATAAT